TAGGGAACGAACTTATGGTTGCCAGGAGGAGAGAGTGCGGGGAAGCTATAGTTAGGAAGTGTGGGATAGAAATGTACACACTGCTGTATTTTAAATGGATAACCAATAAGGACCTACTGTACAGCACAGGAAACTCTGCTCAGTGTTATGTGTCAGCCTGAATGGAAGTTTGAGGGAGAATGGATACATGTATGTGTATGGTTGTTCACTTGAAACTATCACAACATTATTAGTCAGCTATACTCCAATATAAAATAAAACGTTGAGAAATTAAAAACAGATTACAAAATAAATAAAATAAAAAATATTTTAAAAAGCTGAGAAATGGAGTTGTATGAATCAGCATGGTAGGCTCCACACTTTCTGCCTCCTGGGGGAGGTTTAAAGAGATGTCTGTATGAATGTAAAAAAAAAAAAGAAATCCTGAAGAAGTGTGTATATCTGAATATTTTATCTTAAGTTTCTCATCCAAGGTTGAGGATTCGTGTAAGCCAGCAGGCTGAAGGCCCATGATTCCTGTCCTCTTAGGGGTCCAGCTACCCCCAAAGCCAAAGTCCCACAGACCAACCGGCCTCTAAGGGCCTGGCTCCTCTCTTTAGAAGGCTGTGTAGTGCGATGTGAATAGACACGGAATAAAGCCCGAGAAAGCACAGACGTGTTAACAAAGCTGATTTTTAACACCAGTTTATTGTATTTTTACAATAATAAAAATAAATTAGTCATACACAAAAATAGTTGTCATTTTTGCTGAAGAGAAAGCAGACTACTTACTCATATAATTTGCCTTCTACCCTCCACCTCTTTAAGCAATAATTGGCACCAAGGGTGACATGGGGTTGATGGAGTATTCTGTGGGTTCCATGCTCCTGGCTGTGGAGTTGACCAGCCAGAGCCCCCCTCAGCAGTCACCAGGGGGGACCCTGGAGGTGTGGTCAGAGCAGTGAGTGCATCACTCCTCCTTGCCCCTGCCAGGGGACCCTGCCCCCTCCCAGCTCCAAGTCAGCCCCTCCCCGAGCCACATACTGCTGGTGACTCTGATGAATGAGGCAAGACAAAGAGAAGGGTTGAAAAAGACCCCCGTATTTCCTTCTCCAAATATTTGAGGGTGAGGAGAGGGCAGATTATATGAGCAAATACGACATTGAAGGTGGAAAGGTGGCAATCCAGACAGACCTGTTTTCAGGTACAATCCCAGGGGTAAAAAGCCCCTGAATGAGTCGAAAAGTAGAGTAATTTCTATTTGATCTTAAAAACCAAGGAACTTGGCTAATCAGTATACTTAAGTGTACCCATGGACTTAGAATGAGACGCCATGTGCAGCAACTTTCTGGGGAAGCTGGTTAGTAGAATCAAATAATTTTACACAAATGTGGATCGAATATGTAAATAAATACCTATTAGGTCCCTTTAAAATTAACATATTCTAAATAATAGAACTATTTTGGTGTAGTGACTCATTCCGCGGGTCGAGTTCAGAATACATATTTCCTATAAACATCTTGTATTTACAAAGAACAAAATAATAAGTTATAACAAAGTATATCCTTCCGTCAAACTGAATGGTGGGGATCTGGGGGTCAAGGCAGGTGGAAATCAAGTTTGTGTAACAGAACGCCTTTCCTCTCACGGAGGCAAAGGGCTCAACGTCTGGAAGATGCTGAGAAAGCCATCTGGAGGGTCCCACCCCATGGGGTCACTTTTCCTTGGCACAATGGTTGTCTCCCACTGCCAGCCACTGGAGAGAAAGAACCAGGAGTGTGGTGCAGGGTGGAGAGAATGATGTTGCTCCAGAAAAGATGCAGGAAAGCAAAGTGAGTTGAGACAGAGATGGTATTTAGAGGGTCCTTGTCTAGTCGAGGCACTGCCTCCATCAAGGTGTGTGACCCCAGGCAGGGAACTAGCCATCAGGATGTTTGGTTACTCATCCTAAAAGCAGGACCAGATAGGGCAGCTCTGATCAATTGGCTAGTGTTTCTCTGAGGTATGAGGTCACATTCTGCTCTTGGGAGGAGTGTAACACTGGGTTTCGAACGGTAGTCATAGCAACAGGAAGTACATGTGCTGTGTACTTGCCATCCCAGACCAGGTGAATCACTTGCATCTGTTCTACTCAGAGAGTCACCAAAGTCCAGACTGGAAGGAATCTTAAAAGTCCTGTTGCCCCAGCTAGGTGCTCGGATCCCCCCACCCCCTTCAGCATTCATGACAGATGGCCATTAAGACTCTGCTGAGACCTCCAGGAGTGGGTCAGTCAGCAGTACCTACCATGGAGTCCTCTACCTTCCGAAGGTGCTCATGTGTAGAAAGGAAGTTCTCCTGCAAGAGCTAAAATCTGCCTCCCTGCAGCGTTCATCTCCTAGGATGGCTCTCCTGGTGCTTCCCAAACCTCTCCTCCAGCCTAAACATCTTCTTGAAGTCCTTGCACTGCTTCCCACAGTCTGCACCCCTCCTCAGGAACAGGCATGCTCATCTGAATGTTATATGTTATCAGCATTCTTCTTAAAGTTTACGGCAATCACAAATTGGGTTCACCAATGTTGTCTCCTTATGCCTGAATGCTCTGTGGCTTTTTGTTTGTTTTGGGGGTTTTTTGTGTGTATTTTTTTTGGGGGGGTAGTTTCATCCCACTTTCTTGACCTGCATTGAGCTCAGCCAACTGAAATTCTTACCTGCTCCCCACTTTGTACTTCTATAGTTTTGTTTTGTTTTGAAATCCAAAGTTGGGACTTTATGTTGCTTCCTGGTGAATTTCGAAGATCTAGGACATTTTTGGCCGTAGAACTTGTCATTTAGCTGTTACCACTCCAACTTCTTGGCATCCATCAATTTCATTAGGAAGTTGTCTAATTTCCCACCTAAGCCACACTAAAAATGTTTCGTATGGCAAGGATGCAGTGTCAGTCTCCACCTGCCAGGCTGACAGAGGTTCCCTCAGGTTTGATGATTCAATCTTTCCTTAAAAGAGAAATCATATTTCTTTCTATCACTTACATGTGTGTCTTTGAGATTAGAAAATGGATGTTCAAATTAGAAAAAGACAGCCACAGGTTTAGAAAGGCATTAGTAACATCTGGGTTTCTCTCTCTGCCACACAACTTGATAGCAACAAATGAAGACAGTGTCCCTCGTTTTCGTCCCTCTGGAAGGCCGTTCTTTTTTAAAGGAAGGAATCATGAAAGCTAAACCCTTTGGGGGTGAGTAAATGATAAATACTCCAATAGCAGTGGGCCAGAGAAGTAAGGCATAGGGACAGACAGGGACAGTTGTGAGTGCTGCCGTCACACTGGCGGTGCTCATCTGGGTTCCCACCAGCGTGCAAGCAGCAGGCAGTGAACATGCCCTGCATGAACTGAACCAACTCTATCTGGTGGCTGGGTTTACAAGTTTTTTTGTTTCAGTGCCATATTTCTTATATTGCTCCTTTTCTAGGGGGAGAAACGTGAGTCCATGTGAGAATGGGAAGGACGGGCTGCCCTGAATAGCCTTTGCCCTTTGCAAGGGGCACGCTTTCCTTTTCCAATACATGATAGTACAAAAAAAAAAAAAGGAAACTATTTCTGTTTTGAGCTTTCTTGATTTTTTGGTGAGAAAAGCACAGAACTTAAATTCATCTAATTTTAAAATGCAGAGCAGGGACTGATGCAATTTCGTTTGCAGAAAAAAAAGTATTAAAATGTAAATTTCAATTCTGCATCACGGCCAGCTATGGGAACAGACTGAGGAGATGGGAGATGGAGGGTCATGGGAAGGAGAGGGTGAGACAAGGGGGACAAGAAAATGGGAAAGAGGCATCTCTGGAAGGAGAGAGGAGCATTGTCACTGGAAATGCTACTGGACATTATCATGTGTGTTGTGCTAAGAATGGAGGCATTTAGATGCTGATATAAGAAACTAGGAAATTAGTAAAAACTGAGTTTTTAAAACAAGTTGATAAACCTCCGAATCTAGTAACTCATGCCCTTTCCAGACAAATGAATTCCAAGACTAGCTCAACTATTTGTTGCAAGAGGAAACAAAGATGCTCGCTTTCAGTACTTCTTTCCCCTGAAGACCTGGGGTTGATTCATTTGCTCCTACCCAATTCCACACCTGGCAAGATGGCCATTCTCATGGGAGCATCCCTGATCCTTTAGAGCACTGTTGGTAAGATTTAGGGACACTGTTAGACGTCAAAGAGACAAGTCATGAGAATCCTGGGTTGGAAGAACCTGGGATGCTCACCTCCCACTTGGTGGAAAAAGCCCTTTTAGGCTGGTGAACCCACTCATATGGCAGCCATACCTCTGCTGTGTTGGGCAGCCTGGATGGCTAGAAGGTTTTCCCTTCATTTAAGCTGAAATCAGCATTTCTGCTCTTCCACCCATTGATCTTGCTCTGCCCTCCAGCATGTAAAGACAGCCTCCTCCAAAGAATCCTCCAAAGGACTGGCTTGTTCAGGAAGATCAGAGAGCAGCTGCAAAAAGGATACCCTCTCCTGGGACGAGAAGCAAAGGCAAGTGATGAAAGAGAGAGTGAGTGCTGGCTAGGAACCAGCCATATGCTTGGCTTCTCTGGTCTGCTTTTGATTGGTGGGCATGGGAATCTGGGCCTCTGCCCTGCTGCTTATGGCACAAGTTATATAAGGATCAGGAGAGATGGGTGTGCTTTTGGAAAAAGGTGACTGGGGCTTTCCAGAAAGAGAAGGACACTTATAGTAAGGCCAAATAGAATTTCTGAAAGCCCAAGGGTAATGCGAGCATGATGGGGTGTGTCAGATACTGCTTCCAAAAGCACATCATCATCAAATTAGCAGATTTTGGGGTTAAAGCGCTCATGGGAGAAACTCAGTTGCTATAAATTTCAAAGCAAACATTTTCTTTGAATGGGAAATAGGCCCAGGACCATAGTACTAAATAAGACAAATTTTCTTTACACTTCCAATTTGTTCAGCCTGATTATTTTTCTTAGTGGGTGTAAGAATATAAAATATATATATATATATATATATATATATACACCCTGAGGCCTTGTGAACTACAGAGTCATGTGAACGAATCAAGAAGGACCCTACTGCTGTGTCCATTGTGGAGGAGTTCACAGCCCCCTTTCCCAGGTTGATTGCATTAATAAAGATCTTAGTGCTCACACCTTGGAGGGGAGATATGGTTTGTGAGTCATGGGGCAAGGTGTGTGTAGGGGAGGGGGCAGGATGCAAAGAGAAATCCACAAATCAAACCAGAAAGACCCAAGGGAGACTCTTTCTAATATAAACATAGGATTCTTACTGGGATAGGTTGGCTGGACTTTCCTCTGGGCGATGTGTGGTGAAGGCCCAGGACAGATGACTGAGGAAGAGGCAAGAGCCCAGGGGGCCACGGGGCTGTGTGCTCTGGAAGTCTGCTCTGGGTGACAAAAAGTGACCTTGATGGAGGATTCCAGGGGTGGTGTGCCCCCCTGGGGGGAAGAAGAAGAATTTAAGGAAATCACCTTGCTACCCCGATGGCTTCTTATCGCATGGGCTAGTTCTGTTAAGGATGGGGTTCAAGAACCCATGCAGAGTCCTGTGATTTTGTGGGGGAAGGGAAAAAAGAGACTCCTGAAACAAGTGAGTGCAGGAGATTAAGACTTGACTTTGGGCCAGAGGAAAGAATTCAAAGGTCTAGGCTTTGTTTGCTGAGTGTGAAACTTCTGAGCCTCTTGGTCTGAAAGGAAGCCACCACGTTCTGCAGATGTAAGACTTCTGGCCAGGCCTCGGGGTAAAGGTTTTGTGGTCAGACCGCAGGGGTTGGGACTGATCACATGGGTCAGTCCATGACCTCAAACCTGGCGGGTCAGTTACCTAAGCTGAGTCTCAGTTTTCTTGTCAGTAAAATAGGGACCATGATTCATTCCCTGCCTCCCATTCTGGGGCACCATGAACCATAATGAGCTAATATCTCTGATTATACTTTCCAAACAATAAAGCACTAAACTGGCGAGAGATATTTGTGTCATAAGGCAGGAAAACAGCCTAAGGTCTTTGAGCATGAAAATAGGCACAGCCGGGCCGAGGTAACAGAGGAATGCAGGCATCTTAGCAAGCCTTAGGGGGGCCCTGGGGTGGAGGTGCTGCCTCCTCTGACTCTCCCTGGGGCACTGATATTGGAAGGGCCTGCAGCGCCAGGGACGAGGCAGCGCCCAGACAGGGCCCGGCTGCTGACTTAGAAACTGCCAGGATGGAGGCAGCTGAGAGCTGAAGGCACTCCCCACCGCTTGGTCTGCAGAGAGCGCAGGGGCCAGGCTTCTGGAGGAGGGCTCATCAGTTCATGGTGATGCTCAAAGGACAACCGTGGCCTTGCTCTTGGGCACTGCGTGTACACTTTACGAAGGCAGGGTGCGGACTAACTTGACTGGCAGCTCCACAGGCCAGGGGGCCCCCAGTAGGGCAGCAGCCAGCCGGTCCCCCCGCTCACAGACTCCCGGACCTGCCCACGGATGTGGAGTGGGATGTTATCTGCTCCCGAGGAAGCCCGAGTGCCTGCTGGCCACGCGCGTGCAGGAGGCGCAGCAGGCGGTCTTGTAGTAGTTATAGACGCAGAGTCTGGCCTGGACCACCACGTTGCAGTTGTAATACCGGTCCTTGCAGTTTTCATCTGCGGCAGAGGAGAATGGAAAAGACTTTGAGCGTGAGGAGCAACCTGGACTTAGGGAATGAGAAAGGGCAGAGGGTGTGGCTATTCATCCCAGTCCCACTGTTTACTACCGATGGAAGGTGTGAGTGTGGGCTGAGAGCAAGGTTATATATATTTTTTTCTTCTTTAAACACGTAGCTGAAATCTGTCCACTCTGACCTTAAGGATGCTGGAACCAAATCTCTGAATGCATTTCCACTTTAATTGATTCCCATGTAAGTTTCTCTTTGCTCGCCATCTGTGCTATCAATAGCTACCTTAAACTATGAAATTTACACCTGAAGGATGCTGACCCCCTCTGAACTCCATGACTTTGCACACAGTCACAGAGAGACCTAGATGAATCTGGCATTTTGACACCAGAGAATTTGATGGAGATTAGGAAAGATGAATCTTTGACTGCAAGGTACGACTCCCTACTTACCAACTTCAGGGACACAGTCCTGAGGGTTGCAGGATTCTTTTTCTTCTGGTTTCAACTGAGGGTCACAGAGATTACTTAGGGTCATGTCATCTGCCAGACAGCGTACTTCCCGGACGCGGAAACCACCCTGACAGCTCTTGGAACACTGTGAGGGGAAAGGAAGAAAGTTAGACTTCTTGGCAGCCCATTAGCTCAGCACACCGGAGAAGGCAGATTTTGGAAAATTCTGACATCTACCAAAGAAGACAATATTAAAACAAACTCCCCTGCACCTACTAATCAGCTTCAATGCGCATCTACTCATGGCTAGCCACATCCCATCTGTACCCTTCCAGGATGACATCTCAAATTACTTTGAAGCAAATCTAGACATCATATCACTTCCATAATATTTCAGTTTGTAGCCCTAAACAACCAAGATTCTTAAAAAATTACCACAATACCATTATTACACCTAGAAATTAATAATAGTTTCTTCTCTTCAAACATATATTCCATTTTGCTTGTGAATCTCAATTTTATTTTAGATTTTCTTGCTTTATTTTGTAGTTTAAAAGTCCAGTTACAATTTTCAAAACCCATTACTGACATGTCAGCTTTCTAAAATAGAGATTTTTTGGGGGTGTGGGGATCAGGGTCCACATCAGGTCTGTACACTGCAGTTGGTTCATAGGCCTTTTAATCCATGGGCTCCCTCCCCTGTGTTTTCGCCCTTGTACTTTAGTTGCTGGAGGAATGGAATCACCTGTCTTGAAGAGCTTCCCACAGTTTAAGATTTTGCTGAGTGCATCCCCTGTGATACAGGCTGACATGTTCCTCCATCTTCCACATTCCCCACAGATAGGATGTTGGATCCAACCTATTCACCTTTATCAGGTGCAGGTTTGATTTGTGTGCGTGTGTGCGTGTGTGTGTGGTGAGACTACTTCATAGGATGTGTTTGTTTAGTTGTCTCTCTTTGGAGGAGGTCAACACTCACTCAAGAGCAGATCCATTAGTTCATTTGGGGTTGAAAAATGGTGATAATATCCTAATACCACTTCTTCTTTTATAAGCTGAGAATCTAAAGGATTCCCACTCCTTCTTCACTTATGTTTACTCTCTGGTTACCCAGTGGTAAGCCTTGTTTAGGAAAGACAGGGCAAATGTTTGATTATTTTCCTTTATTTATCAGTTTTCAGAATAATGAGTTGGTTCCTCTAACATCCTACAATGGTGGATCCTCTAATTAGTTTTTTAATCATTGTAAACTTATTATATATGGATGGATTTAAATTTATTATAGATGGAAGGATTTAAACTTACAAAAGGATGGATTATAGATGGATGGATTTCATTCAATGCATGGCAGTTATTATTTTTACTGATGCTCATTGATACTGATTACTGATACCCATCAATGGGTATCCAGAGGTCAGAGTTGGTTCTTGAGCTCTTTAGACATGAACTCATCTTTAAGAACCTCCTTGCTGCTTGGTATAAAAAGTCATCCTGATTTAATTTATATCTATACAGTCCCAGACCGGAAATCAGACATTTTTCTTTGGCTCCTTTTAGTGGAGAATGGTATTTTGGTGTCATTTTATTTTATTATTTCTTTTGGTCTCACTGCTTGGCATATGGGATCTTAGTTCCTTGACCAGGGATCAAACCCAGGCCTTCTTCTCTGGAAGTGTAGCATCGTAACCACTGGACCACCAGGGAAGTCCCAGAGAGTGGCATTTTGAAACCAGATTCCAGCTGATAGGCATGGCCTTTGCTACTGGGTTGGTCCTTGTTTCCAGGATCTTCCAGTGGATAAAACAGAGAAAAAATTTTTAAGTTAAATTAATTTGTGAGTTCAAACTGATATTTCTAAGTCAAATTTAGGACAGCTGGATTTTTGCTTAAATCTCTTCTGTTCTGTCTGTTATCTTCTTTCACCTAAGCTGAGAATCCTGTTTCTTAAGACAACTGGGGATAACAGAGCTACAGTATCATATCTACTATTACATGTATCATCAGAATACTGAGAAGTAGATTATTCATTTACTTTATTACCTGTTACACACCCAACCATTTCAGAACACAGGACAACATCCATCACTAAAAAAATGTGGTTATTGCAAACAATGTAAACATTTTTCTGCAGTTGTTTTTGTCCTTATAGATAGACAGATTACTATGATTGAGAGCCACAGGCAAGAGAGCTGATGCCACCAACTGCATACATATTTAGGCTAATTTGTTTCATTGCATTTTCCATTTTTAGGGATTTCTTTTTTAAAAGAATAATTTTGTTTTAAATTATATAAAGTATTTACTTTGTTCCAAATGCAAATTTATAAAACAAGGTGAATTTTAAAAATGTCTAGCTTCCATCACTGTCTTTGCTACTATTTTAACAATATATTTCATATTTGCTTCAATTGACGTATTTATTTAAAAAATATTTATTTACTTATTTGGCTGCTCTGGGTCTTAGTTGAAGCATGTGTAATCTTTGCTGTGGAATTTGGGATCTTTTTTAGATGTGATTTATGACATCTTTAGTTGCGGGATCCTAGTTTCCCAACTAGGGATCGAACCCAAGCCCCCTACATTGGGAGTGTGGAGTCTTAGCCACTGGACCACCAGGGGAGTCCCCACTTATTTATTTATTTTAAAATTTACATGCAGAAAAATTCATCTTCTGTGGCGCACAGTTCTGAGTTTTGACAAATTCAGAGAATCGTGTATCTCCCGCTGCAAACAAGACAGAACTTTCATCGCACAGAACAAATTCCTTTGTGCTGACCCTTTGTAGTGAGATTTGTCCCACCCCATCCTCTGGCAATCACTGGTCTGGTCTCTGTTCCCATAGGTTTTCCTTTTACAGGATGTTATGTAGATAGTATTATACACTATGTAACTTTGTGGGGGGAGGGGAGTCTTTCTTCCATTTAGCAAAATGCATTTTAAGTTCTTCCATGTCAAAGGAGGTATCAGTTCTTTGGTTCCTGCTGCTGAGTGGCACCCCACTGTTTGGACAAACCTCTGTTCATTCATTTGCCTATTAAGGGACATCAGGGCTATTCCCAGCAGATGTCTTAGGAGTTTGTGGCCTTTGATGTGGCCTGGTGAGTTTGGCCCTTTCTAGACTCTCCAAACCAAATGGCAGAACAAAATAGTGGTCTGTTCCTGCTTTTTCAAGGACCATGGCCAACATCAAACCTAACCCTAAGAAGCAAATTCCTTGGCCAAGTTGGACCCAGAATCAGTCTTTGCAAACAAGGTCCCAGCTGACTCTTAGGCCCATGAAAAGTTGAGAGTCACCATTTTATGGCCTCTATAGTTTAGAAGTCAAGCTCGTCCCAGCCTCAGGCTCCCTCCTCTCCACCAAGCAGGCTGCGTCCAGGGCACCCCAGCTGTGACCAAGAAGAGCAGATTGTGCAGGGAATCCGGGCTGCACCCAGGGCCTGAGAGGTGAGATGGAAATGGGCTGGCCCAGGAGATGGGCCAGCCGTGAGGGGTGGGGGGAAGCGGAGGGGAGCACTGGGACTTACCATGCTCCATTCTGTGTTAAACCATTTGGCCCCGCAGGGCTTGAGGTGGCAGGGTTGCTGGCTGGGGGGTTTCTCCAGGAAGGAACATTCATAGGGGTCCAGCACTTCAAAGGTGTCTGTGTTCTTCCTAACACAAATCACCTCCCTCTGCTGGGTCCCGCTCCCACACTCGATGGAACACTAGAGAAGGAAGCAGAGAAAGACAAGTGTCACATGATAGAGAGGGGATGAGAAATACCATCCATTGAGGAAGGTTTCCCAGAACTTTCCATCATTGCTTCAGGGAGGTTCCAGTTTTCCTGACAGCTCTGTTTCTGGCATGGAGAGCATCTGCCCTGAACTCTCACGTCTTGAGGATGCTGGTGGCTGAGATCCTGATGCCCTCAGTAAAATGGGAGTGAAATCAGGTTTCCCATAGGTTATCCCACAGAGCATGCCATCCAGTCATTGGTTTTGTCTGGTAGACTCTGACACCTCTCATTGTGAAACAACGAGCTAACATTTAGCTTATCTGCTGGCCTTTGGCAGGGTACGGCTGGGAATGAATTCTTTTCCCAGAGTCTGCATGTATGTGGGTGAAGTGCTACATTAAAATTCTTTGGGACTCACAAAACTCAGAAGAAGACCATGCACTTGGGACAATGTCCCTTATGATCAGCCTTCCCCTTCCGACAGGGCAGCCAGCAGGAAGCCTTTGCCCACAGAATCCAACTCCCTGGCTCCTTACTTGGAGCCAAAGCTCACTGAGGTTGTGATTGCAAAGAGTCCAGTCAGATAATTACACGTCTTGCTTCATTGCATTAGGTTACGGAAATATGATGCATGTAACTGCCCGTTACTTATTCTAGTTAGCATTTATTGCTTTGCAAAATATTTTCTGTTCATGTTTGGTGTACTCTTACTACCTTTTGATTTAAAAACACTTTATAAGCTGTGATCTATACACTTTTAAAAACTTTAAAGATGCTATTGCCTTTATGAAAAGCCTGTAAAAATGTCTACAGCTGCAACTCTTAATACTAGCCTTGCTTCGATGTGCAGGCACATGGTGAAATTAAAAAAAACAGTGGGGGGTGGGGGGAGCCCATGTCACGACACAGCCAAAAAAACCTCAAACCCAAGCCAACAGACTACAGATTAGTCACACAGCCCATGATAAACCTCCCCATCAGCAATTTCTACTTTGAGCCTGTTTTCTGCCATCTTCACAGGTATACAGAAAACTACAAGGCTTCTTAGTTTTGGAGCTGTCTGTTCAGATGGTAGAGAATAAATGTGACCCAGACACAGGGGCAGACAAGAGGCCTGCTCCTAATGGCTAAAGTCTGTGGAAGACCCTGCCGCCCCCGCAAGAACTAAGATAATTTAAGTGTGAAGCAGGGCTTCCCAGGTGGCTCAATGGTAAAAAACCCGCCTGCCAATTGAGGAGACACGGGTGCTATCCCTGGGTCAGGAAGATCCCCTAGAGAAGGGAATGGCAACCCATTCCAGTATTCTTGCCTGGTGTTCTACAGGCCATGGGGTCACAAACAGTTGGACATAACTGAGCATGCATGTACACACAAGAATGAAGAAAACCCAGAATTGACAGAGAAGAAAGAAAGCATCTGGGCATGAGTAATAGACTTGGTGGAGTATCTTATGAATAAGAGTTGGGCTACTCCATTTCCAGAGTAGAAAAAGGGTCCCTAAACCTCAGAAGTCTCATTCTCTTCAGACAGCTTCTCTACAAGCCTCAGTAGGACCACTGCTAGCACCTGTGCTCACAACTTCCAAGGGAGTCTTTTCCCCTAAGGCCACATTAAAAGTCCCAGGGAAGGACTCAGTTTGACTCGGCTTGGGTCATATGTCCAATCTGGACCAACCACTGTAACCAGGCCAGTGGGGCATTTGAGGCCAACTCTCATTTAAACTATGGGTCTGGAAGGAATATTTCCTTTTATACCTTGAAGTCAATTAATGTTTAAGACTTAAGCATGCTATATTTCATTTTCTTCAGGGATAATATCCAATTTCCAGCGCAGGGAGGTGTCAGCAGGCTCTGACAGTTTTATAAATTCAGAAACAAAACCTGGTCTACAATCAATCAGGTCCTGATCCTCTGGATGACAGGGCGATACATTCCATGTTTCTAATCTTAGCAGAAATAAACGCCGCCTTCACCAGGATTCGTGTGATTCTCACTTCTCTGAGTGCTTGCGCCCATGCTAAGTCATGTCCAGCTTTTTTGTGACTCCTTGGATTGTAGCCCACCAGGCTCCTCTGTCCACGGAATTCTCCAGGCAAGAATACTGGAGCAGGTTGCCATTTTCTTCTCCAGAGGATCTTCCTGACCCAGGGATTTAACCTGCATCTCTTGTGTCTCCTGCATTGGCAAGGGGGTCTTTACCACCTGAACCATAGAGGAAGCCTGTTCTCTGAGTAGGTCCAGAGTTAATAGGAGGCCCATAAATAAAAAAGAACTGAATCCTGCTCCCCTCTCTTCTTCCTCAGACACTGGGGGACAAGAGAGTTAAAGTGCACTGGTTATCTGCTCTGTGTGAAGGCTGTTATGATCTGATACTGCAGTTTCACACAGGACTCTTCCCATTGTCTCAGTTTCCATAGATTGCTGTCATTCAGTCGCTAAGTCTTGTCCAACTCTTTGTGACCCCATGGATTGCAGCATGCCAAGCTTCCCTGTCCTCCACTATTCTCCCAGAGTTTCCACAGATACTTGGTGTAATTGGTGTCCCATACACCGTTCACTTCCGAATTATCTTTGGGGTTTAGATCCTAGATATTTTGCTACCAACAATGAGATAGAAACATTGGCAGAAAAAAATAACAAACATGGAGAAGAGGAAACCAATATTTATTAAGTACTCCCCATGTCCCAAGCAACAACCCATTCATACAGTGTCTCATGAAAATCCAATAGCAACTCTAAAAAGGTGGTGTTATTATTCTCCTATCTGGATGAGGAAACAGGCTCAGAAAGGCTAAATTACCCACCCCAAGTCATAGAACTAAGGGGACATAGAGCTGGGATCAGTTATCAAGTATGCCTAACTCTGATACCAACTTGGGTAGCATTGGTAGTACTTGCATTCTTTCTTTTCTGAATTTGTTAATATTTTACAGTTTGTATTATAAAAATATTAAAGGAAATTTGAGGAGAAAACATTTGTTCATGTTGTTTATATAAAAAGCTATACTTTGAAGTGGTTGAGATAGGGTTTACATACTTTAACATAGTCTGTTTTTCACTTGCCATTATATGTTCTTTCCACATCTTCCTAATTATCATTGTTGTTATTACATAATACCTTAATGAGTTATGATATGCCATAATATTCCTAATTGCCCTGCTGTCACGAACATCTCTGTTGAAAAAGGCTTTTTTTTTCTCCTGTTAATTATTTCCTTAAAATGAATCCTCAGAAGTGGGGTGAGTGGGTTAAAGCAAATGAACATTTTTATGGTTCTTGACTTTTATTGCCAAATTGCTTTCCAAAGGGGCTGTATCAATTTACAAGGACAAGGCAGTCCATTTTCTTCAGGGTCTGTTTTTAAAGCTACTTAAAAGAAATAAAATTCTATATGGAGCCGGAGGTCCAGAGAATGTATAAATCATGATCATCAGCCAAAATTCTTTGGAGAACAAGCCAGCCCTGGGAGCCAAATTCTAGATGGTCTGAGAACTCAAAATACTGATGGTCATCATAAGAGGGCAAAGAGGGAATGATTTTAGGGGGCTCATGTACAATTTTGGAACTCTAAGGAAAAAATTAATTGATCAGTTAAGTTACTTTATTGAGGTATTTGGTGTTATTGGTTCTTCAAAATGAACAAAAGTAGCTTCTTCTGTTTTTGCTTCTTTCCCCCAGCTTTACTGAGATGTAATTGACAAATAAAATTGTAATATATTAAAAGTATGCTACTGATGATATAGTATACATATACATTGTGAAATTGTCCTTACAATCAAGTTAACACACTCATCACCTCACATATTTACCTTTTTTACATGCATATGTGAGAACACTTAAGTTCTACTCTCTTAGGAAATTTCGACTATACAGTACAGTATTATCTACTGCAGTATAGACACCATGTTACACACTAGACCGCTCCCCCCACCAGAACTTGTTCGCCTTATAACTGAAAGTCTGAACTCTTTTACCAGTCTCTTCCTATTTCCCCGACCCCAGCCCCTGGCAACCATCATTCTACTGATTGTCTCTTTTTAAACATTCTGTATTTATTGTTTTTGGCTGTGTCTCTGTTGAGGCACATGGGCTTGACTGCTCCATGGCATGTGGGATTCTAGTTCCTCGGGGGGACTGAATCTGCATATCTTACACTGGAAGGCAGATTCTTAACCACTGGACCGTCAGGGAAATCCCTCTATTCTCTTCCTCTGAATTTAACTTTTTTTCAGATTCCACTACTTATGATACCACTGCAGTATTTGTCTTTCTGTGTCCTGTTTACTTCACTTAGCATAATGCCCTCTAAGTCTGTCCATGTTGTTGCCAGCAGCAGGATTTCCTTCTTTTATTAAAGGCCAAATAATATGTCATTATAAACAAATACCACATATTCTTTACCCATTCATCTGCTGACAGACACTTAGGTTATTTTCATGTTTTGGTTACTGTGAATAACGCTGCTACCCACATGGTAGGGGACGCAGGTACCTCTCCCAGGTAATAATTTTCTTTCCTTTGGGTATATATCCAGAGTGGGATTGCTGGATCATATCTATTTCTGCTTTTGACTTTCAAGTACAGCCCAAACTGACTTTATGAACAACAGCAATAGGAAAAGAGCAGGAGAAGCTACACTTTATTGTGTTGATTGTACATCAGGCACTGCATCACATACTTTGTAAACATCACTTCGCTTCTTCTAAAAATAACCTCATAGGTGCTGGCACGATCAGCATTGTATAGAAAAGGAAACCATGCTGGACCATAAGCCTCCTGAGGGCAGGAATATTTGTTTTGCTCAATTATGCAGCCCAAGGGTTTTGAAGGGCACATAGTAGGTGCTCAATAAACACCGTTGACCAAATGAGGCTCCAAAAGCATAAGTAGCTTCTCCAGGATCACGGGTAGCACAGCTGAGATTCCAATTCAGCATCCCTGGGAGACACCGAGCCCTGTTTCCTGACCCCTCTGCTATGCTGCTTCCCACCGGGGACAGAGACACGTCGTCCCTGGCCACTCACCTGACTCCAGCTCCCCGCAAACCACTCCACCTTGCCGGTGCAGGGCCCGTTGTCACACGGGGTGGCGTCTGCCGGCCGGTTGCTCCCGCAGCCTTCCAGGGGCAGGCTGCCGACGTGGTTGGTCATGCACACCACCGAGCGCGTCCGCACTCCAGCCCCGCACTCCGCCGAGCACTGTGAGACGGGACGGGCACGTTAGCGAGGAGGCCTCCCCACAGGGTCTGAAGTCCCTTGCAGAGGAGGTGAAGGAGGACAGAACCCCCCATTTCCCTACCAACACTTTCCCTTGGAAACCACTGACCACTCGTCATTCACGGTTTCCTCCATTATGGGACATCAGTACGGCACCCATCTGGGTTTCCCGGGAGAGTCTTCATTCCGAATATCCTGTGCCACGGCTGTGATTGATACAGTTACACTTGTCAGCCTACCTGTTCTACCTGTTCTGGCTTTCAAATTAAAAAATGCAGTTAGTCCCCTACATATAAAGGAGTTCCTTTCCAAGTGTATGTGTTAGTAGCTAAGTTGTGTCTGACTCTTTTTGACCCTATGGACCGTAGCCTGCCAGGCTCCTCTGTCCATGGGATTTTCCAGGCAAGAATATTGGAGTGGGTTGCTATTTCCTTCCAGGGGATCTTCCTGACCCAGGGATTGAACACATGTCTCCCAAGTCTCCTTCATTGCAGGCAGATTCTTTTACCACTGAGTCACCTAATTTGCTCATAAATCCAACAAACTTAGCCTAGGTACCCAACTAACACAATCAGCTATGTAGCACTGTACTCTAATAGGTTTATAATACTTTTCACACAAATAATACAAAAAGACCAAACACATAAAAACAGAACATATTTTAATCTTATAGTATAGTACCTTGAAAAGTACAATACAGTACAAGCTACATCACCACTGCTTTTATGCTTGCTTCTGGACATCCTGGGCTTGAAATAAAGATAATGTACTGCTGTACTCTATGCAGCATTGTATAATAAAGTACACAAAAGCAGAACCACTTGTAGAGGATGCACACACATGACAATGTATGACAGACACGTGAACTAAGTTGTGTGACTGAACATGTGAATGCATGCTTGCATCTTTGAAAGTTCGAAACTTGAAGGTTCCTATGTAGAAGGCTCATTGTATAGTCAGCAGCAGAAGAATGAGAACACGAAAACTCGGGCACATGTCTGCCTGCTAGTAGCTGAGTCTGGCCTGTTCTGGGAAAGGAGAGTTGAAGTCTCTCACAAGACACTGCTGCCTGATACTAAGGCAAGTGGTTCCATTCCTCAAGGGCCACAGCTAGGGGTAAACTGGGAGGCAGACCGATAGAAAGGGAGAGCTTGGTCTGGGAACCAGGCACATCGGTGTGTGTCACATCCCTATTATCTGTGTGGCTGGGGCTTCCCTGGTAGCTCAGATGGTAAAGAATCCACCTGCAATGCAGGAGACCTAAGTCTGATCCTCGGACCAGGAAGATCCCCTGGAGAAGGGAATGGCAACCCACTCCAGTATTCTTGCCTGGAGAATGCCATGGACAGAGGAGCCTGGCAGGCTACAGTCCATGGAGTCGCAAAGAGTCGGACATGAGTGAGTGACTAAGCATGCACACACATGTCTGTGTGTCTGGGGGCCCGTGACCCAGTCCCTCATCTTTTCCATTATTATATTCCTGGCAGGAGGACTCTGGTTCTGCACTGTAACCAGGTTTCCAGGGATTTGTAGGCACATTACGGGGTGGAAGCACCCTGAGGGATTCTTCTAAGGGAAATGGTGCAGACTTGGCCTAATTGATAGGGAGGAACTAAGAGGCAGCCACTCACACCTCCATCCCAGTTAAACTTCCACAGTCTTCTGAAGAATCCAGAAACCCAGACACTGCTCATTTGATGAGCAGTTCAGCTGCCTTGGTCAGAATACTCCTATTGCCCACCAATCAACAGCTTCCATGAGAGTAGGCAGGCAAAACCATCATCTCCTCTCCCTCCCTCTCCTACCCCCAGGCATCTTTTAATCGCACTTAGTATTTTTTCCTAAACTTTTTTTATTGTGGTAAAACACACATAACATAAACTTTACCATTTTAATAATCTTTAAGAGTACAAGTCAGAGGTATTAAGTATATTCACAATGTTGTGTAACCATTACCGCCACTCTTCTCTCTTCTAGGGCTTCCCTGTGGCTCAGTTGGTAAAGAATCCACCTGCAATGCAGGACACCTGGGTTCAATCCCTGGGTTGGGAAGATCCCCTGGAGAAGAGAACAGCTACCCACTCCAGTATTCTGGCCTGGAGAATTTCATGGACTATATAGTCCATGGGGTCACAAAGAGTCGGACACGACTAAACAACTTTTATTTCACTTTCTATCTTCTAACATAAATCTTATTTTTGTCTTTGATAGATGAACTCATAATGTTTTCCCTTGTACACAGGTAACTGGTGGGATAATGATGAACTATATACACCTTTCAGTTCCTCCTTGACACCTGACACCAGGGACCCCCAAGGTAGCCTGGCTACTGGGAAAAGGAATGTTGGGGATGATTCTGAGTTTGTAAGAAGCAGGGGAGGGGCCTGTCATTTGCTGTGTGCTTGTTCTATGCCAGACATTCCCAAGATGTAGGAAAGTGCATTTATGTACTTTATTTAGAACTTCATTATTTAATATTCATGTGACATGCTAAGGAGAATTAAATAAGTTCTTTCACACCCATGTCTTGATCTCCGAGGCCCTTAGTCTTCATAGGAGGATAGAAAGCCTATGATAGTTCATCTCTAGGCCTCTCCCCAAAAGTCAGAAACCACCCTTGGGATTTCGAACTAGAGTTCATCTCTATGTGGTTTGGGGCAGCTCCTGGTGCACACTCCTGCCCATCAGCCCAGCAGACTCGGTCCCGCCTGCCCGCCATCCCCCTCGCTCACCCTCTCGCTCCACTCGGTCAAGAACCAGCTTTTGGCGCAGGGGCCCATGTCGCAGTTCTCAATGTCATTGGGCCGGAGCTTCATGTTGCATTCCTCGTCGTCAACCACGTCCCCGATGTTGCTCACACACTTCACGTCCCGGGTCCTCTGTCCCACTCCACAGGGCACCGAACACTAAAACACAGCAAATGCACGTCAGCGCGGTGGGCAGTGCTGTCTCCGAGGGCCCCTCCCATCAGGGCACCCTTGTCCTCCTAACCCACCGCCCGAGCAGAGGACAGGGTAAGGCGTGACTCCGGGGTGGCTGTGTACCCAGCCATGCAATGCTACCTGGGGAGGATCCCAGGCTTCCTTTGATCTTTTGGATCTCAGTTCTGTCATCTATGAAATGGGAGAGCAGGATGGCAAGGAGGAGTTGACTCTAGCAGTCACTGGTCTTCACCCCACCACGACACAGGAGAGAGGAAGCCTGTGTGCACCCGCCTCCCATGGGTCAGCCTGATTGAAAGTCGGCCCTTAAGTCTATCTGGCAACCAGCAGTTGCTATGCGTCGCAGAAAAGTCCTTCCAGGAAACTGCGGGAAGGGTCTTCCTGGAGAACCCAGGGTTCCCCCACATCGGGTCTGGGAGGGGGCAGGTGGGAGGGCGGCCGTAGGCCTTGCAGGGGCAGCTCCAGAGCAGGCCGCCCACCGCGTACCGAGGTCCAGTCCGTCCGGATCTGCCACTCGCTGCAGATCTTGAGCTGGCAGGTGCTGGCGGTGTCGGGCTTCTCCAGGTGCTGGCAGCGGTAGGGCTGCACCGTCAGGCTGCGGTTGGCGTACACCTGGCGACACAGGACCTGGCGGTGCTGCATGCCCAGGCCGCAGGTTTTGCTGCACTCGGACCACTCCCCGATGTCCCAGCTGGTGCAGGAAGGAGACAGCGAGAAGGACCGTCACTTCAGTCAACAGGAAGAGAGCCTCTCACACGGAAGCTGGCCGAGCCAATGGACACAGAAGCATCAGACTCGTTGGTTACGGGCGGCCCCCAGCCTAAAGCAGCGCCTGGCAGCCTGCCTCCGCCCATCGGACTCCATAAAGGAATTGTGATTCCTGGGTTCTAGGGCGCAGGCCCAGCAGTTGTGGTGCACGGGATTAGCTGCCCCGTGGCATGTGGGATCTTCCCAGACCAGGGGTTGAACCTGTGTCCTCTGCACTACAAGACAGACTCTGAACCACTGGACCAACAGGGAAGCCCCAAATTTATTACAATATTGCCTCTGGTTTATGTTTTGATTTTTGGCCATGAAGCATGTGGGATCTTAGCTGCCCATCCAGGATTGAACTCATACGTCCTGCAATGGAAGGTGAAGTCTTAACCTCTGCGCTGCCAGGGAAGTTCCCCGCCTTGTTTTTCTAAAAGAAGAGTTAGTCAATAACTAACCCAATACCTCTCCTGAGACGCTCCCCAGGCAGATGTATTTGTGACTTTGATAATTGTGTCTCTGTACACAGCTCTGCTGAGCACTGACCACTTTGGATTGTAACTTCTTGCTTCCCTCTTTGTTTCCCTTACCAGCTAAAACCTAGTTGCTCCAATTCACCAAAGGCTTCCTGGGAGGGTGCTATGAACTCCTGTGTTAGTCCTGAAAGACAGGTATGCTTGCTAAACAGATTGCATTTTATGCATAGACTAAGTCTCATTTTAAATCAGATTATATTTACTTCTAGGGTCCTATACAAAAGCAACCTGAGCCAGAAACACACGACCAAAACAGAGAGGTCCTCTTACAAGGCTGGGCAAGGGAAGATGTTGCAGGGCTCCTCCTCGGGGGTCGGCTTCATGGTCGAGTCACAGTAGCTCTCGGGAACCTCTTCGTGAGTGTTTCTGTGCACACAGCGAAAAATAGGGTACTGCGATCCTGCAAGGACAAGAAGTGTTTGAACACTGGGCTTTGGATGCAGACATGCAGAGATCCTGGTGCTGCTGAAGAGAAGCCTCAGAAACAGAACTGTTCACACACACACTCCTCCATCCTGAGATGTCAACACCTACTGCACCAGGGCTTTCCCAGGCACTGCGGAGGGCAACAAAGAACAGTAGGAATAGTTCCCGTCGTCAAAGGTCTTATGACCTATTCGGAGACATGGTTTGAACATGTTCAATGGCAGATAAAAACAACTTTTCTAAGAGTTCAAGACAATAAGAAAGATTGTTAGGAAGGGGAGTGGTTATAAAATGAACACAGACAATAACTTCTTGAAGGTTTTCTGGAGACATGAAAGAGAACAGGTCTCAGGGGATCTAGCTGCATCATAGAGAGAGGGTTGATTTTGGGTAGCCGTGCACACGTGTATTTTGGAGGGAGGAGGCTGTTCATGTTGTTGACCTAGGACAAAAGTGCATGGCAAACTGGCCTGTGAGTGTCAGGTATGTTGAAGAGACAGTCAGGCTGGGGCAGAGAAATAAGATTCAAGAGAGGCTAGAAAAGCAGCTGGCTTTGCCTTTGCAAATCATTTTTACACATTCCCCTAGTAAAGTACTGATCTGATGGTTAGTTATTTGAATATATGTCTGCCTCTTAGGAGACGGTGAGCTTCTTGGGAACAGGACTAGTTCTTGATCAATCCTGTAACCCAAGTATAGCAGGGTAGTGAAGTGAAAGCAGCTCAGTCTTGTCCGACTCTCTGCGATCCCATGGACTACACAGTCCATGGGATTCTCTAGGCCAGAATACTGGAGTGGGTAGCTGTTCTAGTCTCCAGGGGATCTTCCCAACCCAGGGATCGAACTCAGATCTCCTGCATTGCAGGTGGATTCTTTACCAGCTGAGCCACAAGGGAAAACCAAGTTTGTCAGTGCTCATAAAAGTTTGTTGAGTGAATATTTTTCAGAGGTCTAAAATCTGTTTTGATTTCTTTCCTAAAAAACTACTAGTGGCCTCAGGTTGTTTTAAATGCACAGCTGAGTATTTCATACTTAACAAAGCTTAATCTATTTTGGAGAAAAAGTCAGAATTTGTTCAGTGAACTTTCTAGCTCTCAACTGGGGTGGGGGTGGGGGGAAGTAGATTAAATTCTGCCTGCCTCTCTCTGCTACCCCCTGGTGGCAGCACTGAAGTATTACTAATGCGTGTTTGAAAGAAACTGTGCAACTCCAGTGCCTGAGGAATAAGATGCTTTTTTTTTTTTTTTCTTAAACAAATAATTGTCTACCCCCCCGTCCCCCGCAAGCCCCAGTCTAGGCCAGTACCTGAATCCTGCTAGGCAGAACACTATCATTTATCCTACAGCTTCGTCTCAGTTCTGTTGCTAATTGGCCAGGCACTGAGAATTTCTGAACTTCAACTTGCTACAATTTTAATTGTAACTAGAGGGATAACTTTGACTGTAAGTGTCTCTAAATATGTCATCAGCCACAAAGTGTTTCAGTGCTTCTTTGGGCTGGTCTTGTGTGACACACTGGGCCAGAGGGTGGTTCTTTGAATCAGAACAATCACCTGTTTAAACTACTCTTGCTGTGAAAATTTACAATGCAGCTATAACTTGAGATCATTATTTTAAAATAATGTTCCAATTAAGCATAGTTATTAGCTGAGTAAAAAATCAGTGCTGGCCATAACATTAGTAGGAAGCAAAAGCTTTTGTGGNAAATCCATGGCTGATTCATGTCAATGTATGACAAAAACCACTACAATATTGTAAAGTAATTAGCTTCCAACTAATAAAAATAAATGGAAAAAAAATTTTGTCCAGTGACAAATCTGCTTCCATTAAGAAGAGATTTTTTAAATGAAATTCAACAGACATTAAGCACACTGTGCTGAGTTATAAAGATGAGTAAGATTCAGTTCACAGCTTGCACGATACCCACTGGGACCCAGCCATTAAGGGATGAAGTAAAAATCTTATTATTTAGCCCATCCCTTTCCCTCCAGATCGTGTGGGTTAAACTTCTCTACTTACAAGTTTGTGGACTGGAAAGGAAAAGTAAGTACCCCAACTTCTTGGCATTAATGAGGGGAGAATTGAATGTCCCTAGCTAAAAGGATACAGGTCACCCTAGGAATACTCTGCCTTGGAAATATGGATCCTGCTTGGGGCTGTGTGCACATGGCCACTGCCTGCCTCCTTCCACCTTCTTACTGCCTGTACAATACCTTTGTCCATTGTCAAGTTCCAGAGATTAGCCAAGGAAATAAATTCAGAGGCACACTTTCTCTGATGGTGAGAAAACACTAGCTCTACAATTCTTGACCCAATGACCAAAATGGTTTCTTTCTTTGGGTCAGTTTGTATTTCTGCAAAATGGCACTTGGCCATCTCTTCATTGTCCAAGAATGCCACACAATTAGTCCTCTAAGTGCTAGCCAGCAAGAATGGGGTGGGGAGGTCAGGTGCTGGCTGGACTTCAGGCAGCAGAAAAAATCTAGGATCAGTTGGTTGGGCTGGACATTGAGCATGTTAATCAAAATGGAAGTACATTCCATTGGAGCGGGGAGCGTACCACAGGTAAAATGAGGCAAGACAGTGAAGGCAGGGGCTAGTGCAGAGGTCAGTGAGGCATTGTGAAGAGAGAGGCAAAATAAGGAGAAAGAAAACAGTAGACGACTCTAGCCTTTAAACTCAGGGATCGACTGAGCCAAGCCAAGAATTTGACCAGATAGACAGAGGTCTGGGCAATGACTGAGCAGAGTATGGGCCACTCTCGTCCACTGGTGACAGAGCTCCTTCCTGTGATGATGCTATCATGGTGCTGAAATTTTAACCTGAGAGGCATGTGTGGTCTGGTGAGCGCTGCCGGGAAGGACTGGAAAAGAGTTTTAGAGAGGGTTTTTGTGGGGACAAATGATGAGATTACAAAGCAAGTGAACTTGGGTTTTGCAGAAAAGAGATGGACAGCTCTGGCAGGCTCAGAATTTCTTGGTTACAGCATACTTATCACTACACTGAGCACCATGAGATGAGCTAAATATTTTGTGCATCTGCACTGCCTTCCTGCACTGCACATCTGAGACCATCACTGGCTGGGAGCAAATATTAGAGGGAGCAAAGGGGTCCCTCCATCGTGCCTGGGACAGAATAGATAGGCACCACTGAATGACCACCTGGATGAGTAAGTAGCATCTGTCCAGTGAACACAAGGCTGGGTGAGCAGCATGCACGGTGGCAAAGGGCACATGCTCTGTCCTTGTCCCATTGTGTCCATAAGACAATGCCTTATGGTCTCCAGACAGGCCTACATCTCATCTTACTGGAAAGGCTGGGCCAGGCTACATTTAAAGGCTGAGATGGAAGAGACTCTTCTACACATGCCATCCTTGACACCAAACCACACACAACAATTTTTATCCTTTTAATAACTGCCTTAATTTCATCTAGTTCCAAGTACATTTGGTTCCTTTAAGTGGCATCATGTATGTATGTTGGTTGCTCAGTTGTGTCTGACTCTGCAACCCCATGGATGGTAGCCCGCCAGGCTCCACTGTCCATGGAATTCTCCAGGCAACAATACTGGAGTGTGTTGCCAGTCCCTTCTCCAGGGTATCTTCCTGACCCAGGGATCGAACTCCCATCTACTACATTGCAGATGGATTCTTTACTGTCTGAGCTAGCAGGGAAACCCCTTAATGGGGATCACATGTATGTGTGTTTAGTCGCTCAGTTGTCTCCGACTCTTTGTGGCCCCATGTACTGTAGCCCACCAAGCTCCTCTGTCCATGGGATTCTCCAGGCAAGAATACTGGAGTGGGTTGCCATGCCCTCCTCCAGGGCGCCTTTCCAACCCAGAAAAGGATCTTCCTGACCAAGGGATTGAACCCTGTTTGGGCCATCAGGAAAGCCCATGAATACTGGATTGGGCAGCCTATCCCTTCTCCAGGAGATCTTCCTGACCCAGGAATTGAACTGGGGTCTCCTGCATTGCAGGCAGATTCTTTACCAGCTGAGCTACCAGGAAAACTCAATGGGCATCATACTACTACCTAAATGGTAGGATATTTAGGGACTAATACATGTTGATCTTGAGTTTCTGTGTCAAGTACATTTCACACTGCTTACTACACTAAACTGATGTGTGACAGATCCTCACTAAACTCTTTTTGGCCTTCATGTATAATTATCTCTTGCTTTCTGCCTCTGTCAAGACACATTTAACAGGCATTTGACTTTCCCTCATAAGGCTTATAAGAGAAGTTGGTACAATGACTCTCCAGTTTATACTCTCTGTGCAGGTGTAAGTATAAGCACAATAAAGCCTCCATAAGTTAGCACTCCAGTTCTGAAAGCATCATGGAACTAGCAAAGGTTCCAGACAGAAAGAGCTCCAGACCCCAAGAGGAACCAAAGACTTAAATTCAATTCTCAAAAGCCACTAAGTCAGTGTTCTTATGAAAAATGTAAAAGCTTTAGAGGTGGTTGTGAAAGATTTTTCCACGTGTTGATTATGTCCAGGTTCCCAAATTTTGTGCTCTCAGACACAAGTCTCTTTAAGAAAGGAAAAAAAAAAGTACCCAAACCAATATGCCGGGAGCTTCACAGTTTCCCAGTTCCAGAAACTTTCTCAGATACAGCCTTTGTTTCTATGATAATCTCCCTTCAAAGAACAGCTGTTTTAGGATCACAAATAGCACTTCACTACAAGCAGGAAGCTCTCACCATATATATGAAGGAAATCATGACTAAAAGATTATACATACTCTTAAAATGAAGATTTAAGGCACCTGGAACAGAGAAGCAGCATCAATTTCCAACCCAGGTGCAGAACATTACATCAGGGGTTTCTGGACATCATATCCCACATCTGTCTTAACTTTGGAGTGTTCAAGGACTCAGGGTTGTGAGCCCATGTCACAGTTCAGAATGATAATGATATTGACCCTTTTACGCACAGACAGGCTTGGCTTCAAGCCTATCACAACCTTGTTTTATTTATTTAAATTAATTTGCATTGGAGTGTTAAGAGTCCCTTGGACTGCATGGAGATCAAACCAGTAAATCCTAAAGGAAATCAATCCTGAATATTCATTGGAAGGACTGATGCTGAAGCTCCAATACTTTGGCCACTTGATGCAAAGAATTGATTCATTAGAAAAGACCCTGATGCAGGGAAAGATTGAAGGCAGGAGGAGAAAGGGACAACAGAGGATGAGATGGTTGGATGGCATCACGGACTCAATGGACATGAGTTTCAGCAAACTCTGGGAGATGGTGAAGGACAAGGAAGCCTGGCATGCTGCAGTCCATGGGGTCTCAAAGAGTTGGACACGACTGAGTGACCGAATAACCAATAGTTGCTTTACAATGCCGTGTTAGTTTCTACTCTGCAGCAAATGAACCAGCTCTACATATACACATATCCCCTCTTTTTTGGGTTTCCTTCCCACTGAGATGGACATTTAGGTCCCCACAGAGCACAGAGTTGAATTCCCTGTGCTATAGAGTAGGTTCTCATTAGTTATCTGTTTTACACTTAGTAGTGTAAATACGTCAGTTTCAGTCTCCCAGTACTTCCCCTTCTTCCCCTCTGGTGTCCAAACACTTATTTCTTATGTCTGTGTCTCTGTTTCTGCTTTGCAAATAAGATCATCTATACCATTTTTCTAGATTCCACAAATATGTGTTAATATACATTTGTCTTTCTCTTTCTGACTTACTTCACTTTGTATGACAGTTTCTAGGTGCACCCATGATACAAAAACAGAAATATAGACCAATGAAACAGAATAGAAATCGCAGAGAAAAACCCATACACGTACAGTCATCTAATCTATGACAATGGAGGCAAGAATATGCAATGGAAAAGACAGCCTCTTCAAGAAGAGGTGCTGGGAAAACTGGACAGCTACGTGTAAAAGAATGAAATTAGAACATTTTCTAACACCATACAAAACAATAAGCTCAAAATGGATTAAATAACTAAATAAAGCCAGACACTATAAATCTCTTAGAGGAAAACATAGGCAGAACACTCTTTGACATAAGTCACAGCAAGATCTTTTTTGACTCACCTCCTAGAGCAATGAAAATAAAGACAAAAATTAACAAATGGGACCTAATTAAACTTAGGTTTTGATTTTGCACAGTAAAAGAAGCCATAAACAAGAAGAAACGACAACCCTAAAAGTGGGAGAAAATATTTGCAAACAAAGCAACTGACAAAGGATTAATCTCCAAAATATACAAATGGTTCATGCGGCTCAATATCAAAAAACAAACAACCCGACCAAAAAATGGGTGGAAGGCCTAAATAGACATTTCTCCAAAGAAGACATAGAGATGGCCAACCAATGCATGAAAACATGCTCAACATCACTAATTATTAGAGAAATGCAAGTCAAACCTACAACGAGGTATCACCTCACACCCAATTTAAATTTCACCAAAACACCACCCTTCCCCCCAAATCCTATTACTGGATCTTTTCTTTCCCTTGGAGAGATGCTGTGTACTCACTCTGGTGTATACTCCCCCTTGATGCATAAACTGACTTTGCTGGGCTGCAGCCATGTTCCTGGTGGTCTTAGTTGATTGGGATTAAGATAATGGGATGAATACAAGATCAAGAAATTACTGAAGAGGAGGAAGGGAGTTGTGAATGTTGGTGAGGAGAAAAGCTAGCTAACTAAGCTTGCAAGCTCCCAAAGCATTTTTTTCTTCAGAAATCCTTAGATCTGAGAATGACTCTCCAATGACATTTGTGTTCCATGACGACCTTGCCTTGTGCGTCAACTTGTAGATCTTGAACTAGGTGAGTGTATTCTCTGATCAGGAAAGGGTTAACTCAGCAGGCTTGGGTTGCCCAGATCCTGCACATTCCAAAGAGAGACCTGTGTCCAGGACTGGCCCTTGACTAAGGCTGGAGATAATTAACCTCAGAGCCCCTGGAATACTCTGCTGATGCGAGTTATTCTATGCTAGAGATCTTGGGTTGCGCTGTATCCTTTTGACAATCTAGTCTATGCCAACGATGTGATTTATATGAATGCCTATTTTTTCATGCCTTAGGTCATAGTGTATCAGTTTGACCTCTGGAGTGCTAGAGGCTGAATAGCTAATGTGGGAGATGCATGTCTGCATGATTGAACCCCAATAAATCCCTTGGAAGCCAAAGCTGGAGTGAGTGTCTCTGGTTGGCAATACTAGGCTTATCTATAACATTGCTGGCTTAATCAAATGCAGCCCCGTGTCACTCTACGGGGCCCTAGGGGACACCAGGAGGCTGGCACTTGGCTTGGTGTCTCCTAGACTTTGTCACATGTGCTTTTCCATTTGCTGATGCTAATCTGTAGCCTTTCACTGTAATAAATCATAACCATGAGCACAGCAGCTTTTCTGAGAGTTTTCCAGGTCCTTCCAGTGGATCATCAGGTCTTGGGGACCCGATGGGGACACAGAATCCACTGCGAGCCATCTTGCAGTCAGGCTCAAGGAGAGAAGGGTTTGCCACATGCCTGGGGCCCACCTGTATGTTCCCCACTCCCGCCTGGGAGTCTGCAGAGACCTTCCCAGCCCTCACACGCGCTTACCTTTCCCGCAGGTGGTCGAGCACTCTGAGGTCCCCAGCTGCTTCCAGTTGTGATCCCGGCTCCGCCGAGGGGGCTGTGGAGCCGGCGGCACCACACTGTCCGGCCGGTGGGGAGAGAATCTGTCTGGCTGCCTGACCGGGAAGGTCTGTGCTGATTCCGACGTGAACATTTCAGGTGCCCCGCCGTGCGCGTCTGCCTTCTCCTGGTCCCCCTCTTTCTCTTTTCCCTCCTGCTGGCTCCTCCCTTCTGGTACCAGCTGGCCGTTGAAGGGCTCCCCTAGGAGAGGCAAGGGCACACACCACAGAAGATGGGTTTGTACGGTGAGTTGTCAAGAGGAAATGATCCAGCATTAGATATCAGGGAGTGTGAGATCATTTCTAACTCAAAGCACATGTATCTAAAATAAGTAGATGCTAATTTCAGTAATATTAAAATATTATTAAAAATGAATGAGGAAGAAATGAACATCACAGAAGGGAAAGTGAGCAAGGGCCTGGAGAGGCAATTTCTTTTTATGCGAAAAGAACTACACACAACCAAAAGTCATACAACAGTGCTCAGCTTCATTCCTCGTTAAAGAACTACACAAGAGAGCAACAAGAGCAATTCTATTTATCTAACAATAAAAATGTGAAACTCTGGAAACCTTTAAATCCCTAAACCACTCAATGAAGGTGCTGTAAAACACTATCTCACATTGGATGAGCCTGCAAATAGATGCAAAGCTTTGGAGGGCAACTTGGCAAGATCGCTCAAAATTTTAAATGCACATATCTCTTGACCTAGCCCTTCAATTTCCAGGACAATTGTCATGCAAATATTCCCATTCTTTTACATAAAGCTGTATGTACAAGTATGGTTACTCATTTGAAACACCAAAACAGTAGAATGAATTTAAATGCCCACCAGTGCGTGCATGTGTGTTAAATTGCTTAACAACTTAATCTGGAGCCTCCAGATTGATTAGGATTGAATTTTATACCAGTTTCAAGGACTTTTCAAATTCAGGTTAGTTTTATGTTGGCTTATAGAAAAGACTGGCATGTGATGTTTCTGGTATACTTAGATTGTAGACAAAGATTCAAATCGGCTTGAACATGTTTGTACATGCCCAGAAAGGGCTGGACAGAGTCCCTCCAAATTGTTAAGAGATATTGCCTCTGGGAAGCTGGGTGAGGTGTGAGGTTGGGAATATTGCCTTTTTTTTTTTTTTTTAAATAAATAGACTTTATACACACACACACACACACACACACACATACACACACAGAGGTATATATGCCCAACTATATACCTATAGTTGCCATGCTCTCCTCCAGGTGATCTCCCCAACCTAGGAAGACATGGGTTCTATCCCTGGGTCAGGAAGAATTCCCCTGGACAGAGCAGTCTGGAGGGCTACAGTCCACGGGGTTGCAAAGAGTTGGACATGACTGAGCACACACACATTGTACACATATAGAACCCGCTTGCCAATGCAGGAGATGTAGGAGACACGAATTCAATCCCTGGGTTGGGAAGATCCCTGGAGGAAGCCATGGCAACCCACTCCAGTATTCTTGCCTGGAGAATCCCATGGACAGAGGAGCCTGGAAGGCTACAGTCCACAGGATTGCAACGAGTTGGACACGACTGAAGTGACTTGGCTCAGCACGGCAAGCAGTTTTAGGTTCACAGCAAAACTGAGTAGGAAGTGCAGAGAGTTCCCTTCTTTCTCCTGCCCCCACAAATGCACAGCCTCCCCCATCAACATCCCACATCAGAGTAGTACATTTGTTAAAACTGATGAACCTACACTCGACATAGCAAAAGTCGAGTCCAAAGTCCACAGATTACATTAGGGTTCACTCTTGGTGTTTTACATTTTGTGGGTTTTGACAAATGTGTGACATCTATCAACCATTGCAGTATCACACAAAACAGTTTTGCTGCCCTGAAATCCTCTATGCTCTGCCTATTCATCCCTCCCTCCCTTGTAATCCCTGGAAACCATTGATCTGTTTACTGTCTCCATAGTTATATCTTTTGCAGACAGTCACACACACATACTTGGAACCATATAGTATGCAGACTTTTCAGATTGGCTTCTTTCACTTAGTAATATGCAGTTAAGGTTCATACATGTCTTTTCCTGGCTTGATAGCTCATTTCTTTTTAGCACTGGATAATATTCCATTGTCTGGATGTGCCACAGTCCCTTTATCCAAATTCACTTACTGAAAGACATCTTGGACTGGAGGGCTACAGTCCACGGGGTTGCAAAGAGTTGGACATGACTGAGCACACACACATTGTACACATATAGAACCCGCTTGCCAATGCAGGAGATGTAGGAGACACGAATTCAATCCCTGGGTTGGGAAGATCCCTGGAGGAAGCCATGGCAACCCACTCCAGTATTCTTGCCTGGAGAATCCCATGGACAGAGGAGCCTGGAAGGCTACAGTCCACAGGATTGCAACGAGTTGGACACGACTGAAGTGACTTGGCTCAGCACGGCAAGCAGTTTTAGGTTCACAGCAAAACTGAGTAGGAAGTGCAGAGAGTTCCCTTCTTTCTCCTGCCCCCACAAATGCACAGCCTCCCCCATCAACATCCCACATCAGAGTAGTACATTTGTTAAAACTGATGAACCTACACTCGACATAGCAAAAGTCGAGTCCAAAGTCCACAGATTACATTAGGGTTCACTCTTGGTGTTTTACATTTTGTGGGTTTTGACAAATGTGTGACATCTATCAACCATTGCAGTATCACTCAAAACAGTTTTGCTGCCCTGAAATCCTCTATGCTCTGCCTATTCATCCCTCCCTCCCTTGTAATCCCTGGAAACCATTGATCTGTTTACTATCTCCATAGTTATATCTTTTGCAGACAGTCACACACACATACTTGGAACCATATAGTATGCAGACTTTTCAGATTGGCTTCTTTCACTTAGTAATATGCAGTTAAGGTTCATACATGTCTTTTCCTGGCTTGATAGCTCATTTCTTTTTAGCACTGGATAATATTCCATTGTCTGGATGTGCCACAGTCCCTTTATCCAAATTCACTTACTGAAAGACATCTTGGCTGCTTTCAAGTTTTGGCAATTGTGGAGCCATTGCATTTTACTTTACGTATTTCTATTTTGATTGAATAGTGTTCAAGCATTCATTAGTTTAATATCAAATAAGGAGGCAAATTCTAGGGTTACTATAAAATGCAGTTAAAACTTAGAGCTTTCTCTCCTCTTTCATCAGCACTTTCTTATTTAGTTGGCTACTTAAAATACTTCTTGGTTTAAAATACTATATGCAAATTAAACTAATAGAATCAAGACCAGTATATATCATTGATATAAATAAGGCTGTCCAAATGTTATCAGATAAAACCTTTTAAGATCTTTTATGTGTCTTATATGCCCTGGGCACTGTGCTAGGATAGACACCTAATTCATTCAATACCTTTCCCCTCCTAAATAAAGCCTTTGAATGTACATTTTCTTCCTTTCTATTCTGTGGATTGTGAATGCGTTCAGAGAAGTTACTTTCTTGCATGAAGATGCACACCAAAAAAAAGTGGTAGAGTTGAATTCAAGCTCTGGCCTCCTGTCTCTATTGATATGGAGGATGAAGCCTGGTCCAGATTGCCTCTCCTCCTCAGTGTTTTATGGCTGAGCCCTTCTGGCCTGCTCTGTCCCAGGCAGCTGATCCCAGGACCACATGCCACCCATTAACTGAGACCCATTAAGCTTGCTATCAATCACCATCATCCTATATGATTTCAAATAGTCTATCCAATTGCCCCTATAAGTCAGTATCAGCAATCTCAATATTTTGCCATCTGAACTTGTTTTCTCAGGCTGTATATTGCTCCTGGAAATGGCTTAAAAATACTTTCAGGCTGAGTGTGCTGACTTGCAGTTTGGACAACACATGTACCCCACATGCCAGGCAAACACCAGGCTGTTGTCTCCAGGCAGCCCACGTGACTCCTCCTCCATCTGGGACAGACGACCTGATTATCCAATCAGCAGCCCAGGGAAGGATGGATGGATGGGGTCTCAGGTCTGTCCCTTCACTTCCTAGGACAGACGTTGGACCAGGTCACCTCTAGGCAGTATAACAAGCACAGGGGCTAGTAACCCAGACTGGCCTGAGGTCCAGGATGTGCACAAGTAACTCAGTCTCTCTAAGCTTCTATTTCCTTACTCTTAAAATGGGGCTAATAATAGTTCCTTCCTCTGAGCACACTTGTGAGAATTGATGAGTTAGTCTATATGAAAGGCTCAGCAGTGTCTGGCATAGAGTGAGGACTCAGTCTGTGTGAGTGATTATTATGAATGTTTCTGCAGACATTTCTGTTTGAAAGATAGAAAAGACAGTCTCCGTTTGGGTGGTAGGCTCCATCACCATTTGGTGACGAAGTATCAGCCAGGGGCTGTGACGCATCCAGCAGCAGCCAAGCAGAGCCGCCAGCTCTGTCTCTCAGCAGAGCTCATAGGGAAGAGGTCAACTGTTACATGCGAGCCCATGATGCTTTTCTTATAGGTCAAAGCCATGTTAGTGGAAGCAGAAGGGGACCAAGAGAAAAGGCGTGTGGTAGACAAAACAATGGCCCTCTGAAGGTGTCTGGGTCCTAGTCCCTGAAGGTGTCTGGGTCCTAGTCCCTGGCACTTCGGATGTGTTAGTTTAATGTGGCAAAAGGGATTTTGCAGATATAATTAAGCTATCCTGGGTTTTGAGGAGGAGAGATTTATCTGGCTGAGCTCAATGTAACCAGAAGGGTCCTTATAAGAAAGAGGCAGGAGGGTGAGAGTCAGAGGAGGAGATGTGATGGCAGAATACGGTCAGGGGCAGAGAGAGATCTAAAGGTGTTACTTGGCTGGCTCTGAAGATGGAAGAAGGGGCCACGAACCAAGGAACGAAAGTGGCCTTTTGAATTTGAAAAAGGCAAGGAAATTGATTCTCTCTCAGAGCTTGCAGCGGATGCATAGCTCACCAACACCTTGATTTCTGCCCAGCAAAACCCATTTTGGGCTTTTGACCTCCAAGAACTATAGGATAGTAAATTTGTTATTGTTTTATGGCCCTCAGTTTGAGGTCACCTGTTACAGCAGCAATAGGAAACTAATACATAAGACAATTCAAGATGTTGAACCGAAAGGCAGGCTGAGAATGTTCACTTTGGTTTTTTTTTTTTTCAGTTTAAAAAAACTTGAATTAATTTTATTTTTGGCTGCACTAGGTCTTTGCTGCTGGTGCGGGCTCCTCTCCAGTTGCAGTGTGTGGGCTTCTTATTGTGAGAGCTTCTCTTGTGGCTCCTGGGCTTTATAGCAATGGGCTCCACTGCTCCAGGACATGTGGGATCTTCCTGGATCAGGGATCAAACCCATGTCCCCAGTCTGCAGTGGCAGGCGGAGTCTTATCCATTGTACCACCAAGGAAGCTCTGTTCACTTCATTTTTAAATCAAGTGAACGAAACACTCTCAGAGAAAGTTCAGGCAAATGCTGAAGCATCCTCTGATACCGAGGCCCATTGACTCTGAAATATGTGTCCATGAATTTTCGCTGGGTTAAGTAAGAGACAGAGGGCAGATATACAAGACGAAGAGAGACAGGGCTTTAAAGGGAAATGATCTGGAGTGATTGGCAGCAAAACAAGAAGTTTTACCTGGTCTCCTGTGAGGTGGCACCTGTGGGCTGATGGCGTTGTTCCCCATGATAACGTACTCGTAGTGGACTCCTGGGTTAGGCTGCTGGTGTATCATCTGACAACACAGAGGTCAATGTCACTGCACCAGGACACAGGAACATTCCTTTCCAGCTGACCCTGGGCTCAATGGTGTAAGTGGCATTAACTATAAATAAGTGGATTGATTTACATCTAATATTAATAGTGGGCCAGTGACAGACTAAATGAAAGCTATTTTCAGATGGCCTTTTGCTATTTGCTTTTGAAGAATGAAGGGCATAGTCTTTGAGAGATTCGGAAGAAAACTAGGCTGAAAGTCACGATTTTATAAGTTCCAAATGGAAAGATGGGCGCGATGGTAGCGGACCTTTCTGTTGGCTTCCCGCCATCTTCTCCATGACTTAGATTTTGTGCACAGATCTCAAAATGTCAGTAAGACACTTGGGTTTACACTACAGAGACACTGTTTGAACACTAGGTGGCGAGACAGAGTCATGAAGAAAGGGCCAGACTTCCGGCAGTGCCGGGAGGAACTCTTCCAGGTTCCTCGGAAGTCCTCTGCCAGGCTTATGAGCCTGGCTCAGGAAGGTCTGCCCCAACCCTCTCCCTTCCTGACTCTCTGGGTCCCATCCCCTCTCATCCATGGAAAGCGCCAGAATCACAGAGAGATGGGATGAGAAATACAGGTACCAAATAAGGGAAGTGTCTCCTGGGTCCTATTCTCTCAGAAACCCATGATAAAAGCTGCACAGGGCCATGGAAGCCAGCAATTAAACACTGTCTGGGACAAGAATACAAAGCAAGCCAGTACACAGTGGCGGACTAATTCCCCCCCTATTGGCTTTGGAGCACAACATCCTTTGTACCCATGGCTTTCCTGGTGGGAAGCAGGGTGGTGGGCTAAAGAAAGCAGTTGAACAGGAATCTGAAGTGAAAATATGAGCCAGGCAAGGAGACAGGGTCATGTTTTGATGTTTCCATCTCTACTGCTTTATAAAGGGGTTCTCCTGATGGCCAGCCATGTCACTTGGAGCAAGTCCCTCAATCTCATAGCCTCTGATTTCTTCATCTGAAGAGGCAGGAGGTTAGAATCACAGCTGATCTCTGAGGTCCTATTAGCTAGAGGCGTTCTCTGAGTCACCCTGCAAGGGTGGGTCCTGTTCGGTCCATGAGGGTATCTGCTCCATCCATTTATGCCATCAGGCCTCACCCTTTCCCTACATGTGAAACGGGGCTTCCTGACTCTAAATCACCCAGGGGAAGGCAGCCAGGAGAACCCTGGGGCCCCTCCCATCTAGGAACCTCGTGGGGAGCAGAGAATCCCTGAGAAACATGGTGGCGTGACCACAGGTCCCCACGATCCACTCCCAATTCCCTCACTTCTCTTTTCACACAATCTGACACTCATTCTGGGCCTGGAAATCCTTCCCCGCTCTTCTGTGCTTCTATGTGAACGTTCTGCCAGTGCAAACTTTGTCCCATTTATGAAATTATTATTGGCCACCACATTCCAGACCACCCACAGTAGGCCTTTAACAACCTGAGTTTTTACCCCGATGCCATTTGAAACTTACCCAGAGTCCAACAACCACTGGACAGTCTATTAAAAAATATTCAGAATGAGTTATAACAAGGCTTCCTTTGTTGTTTCTAATCCATGAGCCACTCGGCCCAAAGGGAATGAACATGTAACTGTATAGTTGGACAAGTAGTATTTATAAAACTCAAACTCAGCAAGTATCAGGTACACCAGTGTGACTCTGGAGATGGTGAGAGAATATATATTGATGGGTGACCTCATTCCGTTTTATCAAAACTTTGATTCTGAGCTTTTATTTCCGGTCCCCTTTTATTTCCTGATCTTTTTTAAGAAGCTTGGATTCTAGTGGTTTCTTATAAAAATAAAGACCATTTTTAACTCTGGGGCAACTTAATACTTTTAGTTTCTTGTAAAAGAAATCAAAGTGCTGTCTTCTGGGAAGCAGGGAACCTCTAGTAAATCTCTATATTGTTACTCCAAGCTTTACTGTGTCATGCAGAGGACTCTGGAGTTCTTGTTTCTTCACTTGCTTTAATCGAGTTTGAAGAGGGCTGGGAACTGTGAGTGGTCTTGTCTTGCTTTAGGCATTTGCTTTCTTTTGCCATAAAAAGAAAACACGCCAAATTAGCATAGGAGGAAAGTGCCTGGAGGAGATCCAATGCTCATGAAATAAAGGATATGTTTTGCCTCTGATTTGATTCAACAAGTAAAATTGGTTTTACTGGGTCAGTAAACGCTGAGGGTAATAGGCATCTGGGAGAGTTTATGGTTTCTATGAACTGGGTACATTTGGAGGTGAGTGGCAAAGATGAGCACCAAGCATGTAAGGGTACCCCAAAAGGCGCCACTCAAATGATCTTATTGAGCCGGGGCAACCTTTGTTGTTTAAGTTTTCTAAAGTGTGGTCCTGAGAAGCAAGAAGACAGAAAGGCAATAGTTCAAACTCACATAAACATCCAAGATCTCATTAGTGGGACCTTCGGCCAAAAAGGACTCTCCAGCAGTGCTCGAAATCTCATTTGGACGCTTGTACGTGAACATGGTCCCTCCGCCCTCGTATTTTCCGGGCCGGTCAATTGCCCAGTTCCCGTTGATGATGGAGCGGCCAGAACGACTTCGCAAGGCTGTTGAGAAAAATGAGACAGTCCTGGGTGAGCCCAGGTGTGCACAAGAAGCTGACTGACCCCTGGTGGCTGGCTGATTCACTCATCAAGTTTGTTGCTTCATCCACTATGTGTGGGGCACTGGCCTAGGCCGTGGGGCAGGATGAGGCATCTAGATCACATCAATTGGGCCTCGTCACTCCTTCAACTGACTTCAACTCTTTCTACCTCTTGGACTTAGTCTAGAAAGGAACGGTGGGAGAGGTTAGGAGAGAAGGACATGGAAAATGCATGAAAAAGGAGAACCTTACAGGTGAAAGACAAAAGGAAGGGGGAACAGAAACTGTATTCTACCCCATTATCTAAAGGTGAGAGGTTGCACACTGTCAGCTCATGAGCTGATTTTGGCTCACAAATGAGCTTAATTTGGCCATTATAGTGTTTTTATTTCCAAAAATATTGAACCCAAATTTAAGAATTGGGAGATTTCACATAAAAAGTTTAGAGCTCTAGCTTCTCTTGCTAACCTCGGCTCCATGTTCTGTCATGGCAGAAATCATGGAGCTGGGAGGACCACCTCTGTTAGACAGGGCCTGCATGCTCTGACTGTCCTTCTCCCCACCGCTCCTTAATACTCCCCAACACCACAGCTAAGTCTCAGTTTATTACCCATTGACTCATGAATATAGATTATGCATCATGCTTGAATTATTATTTTTTCTTACTGAATAGAACTTTTCTTACAATTCTTCCTACCTGTATGTCTACTAAAAGTGGCAAAACTGAAGATGGGCTAGGAGGGTCATATGATTTTCTCCTCCTTGGTCACCTCCACTCATGTATATTTCCTGCCTTCTGCAGCCTTCTAAGGATGGGCACTGTGAACTAGTCCCACGTACACCGTCAGAATGGATCGTCACAACATTGCTAAGCAGGTGCGCAGCATCATTTTTCACAGCACGTCTGAGAGGGAACTTGTTCAAGTTCAGAGATGGGTGACAGAACTATGACTTGGAGTCCACACTCAGGACGGAGGTAATAAAGGAGAAGAGGGGCAAGGAACAAGATTCTATGGTTACTGAGAGAAACAAGGACACATTTTCCCCCCTCACACATTTGGTACCTGGATACCACCACCACCCCCCAGGCCAAAGGAAAATTGGATTTAAAGGAGATCCTATTCTTCTTTTTTTAAAAATATTTATTTACTTATTTGACTGTGTTGGGTCTTAGCTGTGGCACACAAGATCTTCTATTGTGGCACGTGGCTCAGCTGACCCATGAAATGTGGGATCTTTAGTTGCCTGCCCAGGGATCAAACCCATGTCCCCTGCATTGCAGGGCAGATTCTTAAATACTGAAACACAAGGGAAGCCCCAAAGGAGATCATGCTCTAAGTGACATGGTCAATGGTAGGCCTGTGGTGGCACTGGTTCTGTGTACTTTCAATTTGTAGTTACTAAACTTAATACTTTTTTACAATGTATTATGAAAAAATTTGCACATGAACAAAAGGAGTGAGAAAGGTATAATAAGCCTCCATGTACTCACCCCATCACCCAGCTTCAACAACGATCACGCCTGCCTTAGCTTGTTTTGCTTTGCCAATGCCAGACGTTATCTTTACATTTTTCAGTGGTGGTGGTGGTTTAGTCACTAAGTCATGTCCAACTCCTGTGACCCCATGGACGGTAGCCTGCCAGGCTCCTCTGTCCATGGGATTCTCCAGGCAAGAACAGTGGAAAGGGGGTTGCCATTTCCTGCTCTAGGGACATTTTTTAGTAGATCTCTCTAAAGCATAAAGACTCTTTGTTTCTTAAAGCCAGTTCAGCAGTGTTTTCTACAATGGGCCTTCCCAGGCCTGCAGAGTCAGAAGCTGCTTGCAGGAGTGGAAGAACCCCCAAGGCTGAGGTGACCCGTGCCTCCCACCCCCCAAAGATGCTATCCCTAGCTGGCTCACTACCATGGCTCCTGGGAGATCACAGCTGTGGAACATCGAACACCAAGCTAGAAAATCACTTCAGCTTACTGAGTGGCAAAGAAGAGTCAAGAGTTAACACTGAGGATGAACAGGTTTGGGCTATTTTCTCTCAAAACCACAGTTCTTGAGAGTGGTCCATATAGGGTCACTGTATTCTCACTTCCCATTCACTTCTCAGTCATCTCCAATCTGGCTCTTGTTCCCGTTATTTCATTGAAACAATTCAAGTGAATGTCACCAGGACCTCCATGTTGTCAAATCCAGTGGGCACTTTCAGCCTTCCTCTTATTGGATGTCTTGGCAGCATTTGGCACTACTGGCTGCTCCATCCTATTTGAAGTCTTTTTTCACTGGTTTCTAGGACATCTCATTCAACTGGCTTTCCTCCTGCTCTCAGGCTGTGCATCTGTTCTTTCCTTTTTCTCATCTTTTTCTACTTGGCCATTAAATGTTAGTGTTCCTTAAGACTTCAGATTTGGTTTGGGTGTTGCATTCCTTTCTTGGGCGATTGCATCTATGCCCATGGCTTCAATTACTATATCCCAGTGACTTTGATATTTATGTCTTCAATTCAGTATTTTCCTCTGGTCCTAAGCTTGTGGGATTTTAGTTCCCTGACCAGGAATCAAACCTAGGCCCTCAGCAATGAGAGTGTGGAGTCCTAACCACTGGACCTCCAGGGAGCTCCCTAGTTCCAGACTTGTATATCTAATTACCTATTTGACAACATCCCTCAGATGTGTAGGTCTGAACTCATTCTTGACCTCTTCCAATATTTCTTTTTAAACTGAAGTATAGTTGATTTACAATATTAGGTTAATTTCAGGTTCTACTGCACAATGATTCAGTATTTTTACAGATTACACTCCCTTTCCACTTCCCCTTGTAACCACTAGCTTGTTTTCTACACCTGTGAGTCCATTTCTGTTTTGCATATGCATTCATTTATATTATTTGTTAGACTCCACATATAAGTGATATCATACAGTGTTTTTCTCTCTCTGACTTATTTCACTAAGCCTCATATTCTCTAGGTCCATTCATGTTGCTGCAAATGGAATAATTTCATTTTTTTATGGCTAAGGAAGCTTCCTTGGTGACTCTGCAGTAAAGAATCCGCCTGCCAATGCAGGAGACGCAGGTTTGATCCCTGGGTCAGGAGGATCCCCTGGAGAAGGAAATGGCAATCCACTCTGGTATTCTTGCCTGGAAAATCCCATGGACAGAGGAGCCTGGCAGGATATAGTCCATAGGGTCACAAAAGGGTTGAATACAACCTAGCAACTAAACAACAACTGTTATCCATGCATTTCCACACTGTTGGTGGGAGTGTAAACTGATTCAACCTTGGAAGGCAGTCTGGTTACTAATTATTCTCAGGTCAAGAATATGGGGCTAAATGCCCCTCCTCCCCATCCTCTCCCCCTCACAATGGGTTTAAATGCCCACACTCTTGACCTCAGAATTATTCTTCTAGGAAACTACTTGACAGATATCCTTCTGTAAGTATACAGAAGTGTTTTTTAATAAGGATATTCTCTGCAGATTGTTTTAAACTGAGAAAAACTCAAACCAACCTAAATATCCATTAATAGAGGATTACTTAAGTAAATTGTCATCTTGGATAACCATGCAATGGAATATCACATGGCCCTAAAAACAATGAGGCAGGTCTGTGGGTATGAAATGAACTCTGTGATACATTTTAAAATGAGACAAAAATACAAAACAGTCCATTTGGTATGGTCTCATTTGTTATACACTTTAAAATAAAAATATACACATTAAAAAAACATGTAGGCACACACATAAAACATTTTAGGGCAAGACAGTCTAAAACAATTAACATTTGGGGAAAGGAATGGGGGTTTAGGTTGGGATGGGAGATAAGAAGGGAAACATTTACTTCCCACTTTATATCCTTTTACTACCATTTAAAATTTGTTTTACCACATGCATATATTATTTTCTTTAAAGCTTAAAAATTTTAAATTAATATAAAGGACATGGTATAAGCAGAAATAAAATATTCCCCCCCCCCCCCTTTTACAGATTTTTTTCTCCAAGCTGCAAAAAAACTACCTCTTCAAAACTGTGAGGAAGTTTCAGGGCGGAAATACTGCTTTAGATTGGGTTATGTCACCCTCTGCCAGGAAGTAAGCAGCAGCTGCTCAGCTCTTGAGTTCAGGCCCTATGTCAGTGACATAATGACTCAGGCCTGGAGGGTGCTGAGGCTCCAGCCTGAGATCTCATGTCCTGGCTCTTTGTCTAGACACGGATCACCACCACTCCGATCTTACCTTCCTCCCCTTCTGTCCATCCGGCATCTCCCTGCCATCCAGCTCAGCCTCTTCCACCTTCACCTACCTCTCTATAGTCAAATATGCACTCTTTATAGAAAATTTGTGATTATAAAAGTCATCTTTCCCATTATGGAAAATCTGGACAATATAAAATGAAAATAATTAAAGTCGGTGCATATTTATAAATGACATCTGTATGCCAGGTTCAGGGCTTGGTGGGAAAAAGATATCTGGGTGAACCCCTCAAGGAGCTCACAGTCTGGTGAGGAAACAGACAAGTTAAGTGTGACACCACTGAGTCATCAGTCCCAGGGAAGCCCAGGGACTGTGGCAACCCACGGTGAGCTTCTAATCCTGCCTAACAGATCAAGGAAGGCTTCCTGAAAGAGATGTCAACTGAACTGAACCTCAGGTAGAAGCATTTTAGCCCTACTACATATATATAACTATTATTAATGTTTTTAATTATTTACAGTAATAGTAGGTACCATTTGTCAAGTGCATCTAGGTACTCTGCTAGGTGCTCTAATATATAATTTTTCTAATGCTGTAACAAAGCTATGAGGTAGCTCTTATTCCCCCCCCCCCCCTTTTACAGCTTGTGCTTAAAACCCAATTTGGAGCATCAAAAGCTTAGAATTGAGGTAGGTTCTGGCTAAGATTTTATTGCTTTTAATGGCAGTATTATAGAAGAGGTTATTATCTGGAAACCAAAAAGCCCATTAAAGAACCATTTG